TGTAGTGCTAAGGCCACAGTAGAAAACCATAGATAAGTTCCCACATAGACTCACATCTACCTCCAAACAAACTATGCATGAATGCATGGACTCAATTACAACTCACAACATGCTAAAAATGCATAACACACATATCACCCTTATTATGATGTTAAGCCAAGCTTAGACTTTCACTTTGCAAGACCATTGTCTAGTATTCACAAAAGACCAAGCATAACTTTGATTTCACATTGTTTAGCCATGCATAAACTTACTCACATCACACATATGATTCACAACATAAAGTCTCAAGCATAAGATCTCATATGTTATTCAACCAGATAACTTTCACACACACATACACACGTATATATAATCAACATTCATTACCCATAACTCATTCACAATAATTCTCTCAAACATTTTTTTTTCTTAATAATGGATATGAACATCTCAATACATCACCAAGATTAAGCACTGAAAAGTTAAAATAAAAAATAACTCATAATTCACACTAGGGAGATTCATTGATAGACATAGCCTCATTGTGCGACTCCAACACTGGGTTAACTTTCGTTGGGTGAGATCTCCCTTTTGCTTAGCACATCAAATGGTCATCCCTCTAGTGGCTCACACTCGCTTAGTGACCCCAACTTCCAGGATTAAAAGCTCGTTGAGAGAACACTATTTGCTAAGCAAATTAAAATGGCCACACTCTAGGATCAAAGCTTGTTGAACGAAACCACTTTGCTCAGTGACCTAACAAAGGCGCATTATAGGTACATAGTCTAACTGTGTGAGTTATTCTCACTAAGTAGGCATTCAACCAGTTCCTTCCTTTTTTTTGAGCGAGTTATTTTTGATGAGCATAAATGTGATGTCAAACCCCAAAACTTGACATATCACTAGTGAAAAAAAGGCTTTTAAAATTGGTTATTTTTAACTTTTAAAATCGGTTCCATAACCAATTTTAAAAGAGCTGATTTTAAAAGTTACACTTTTAAAATCGGTTAAATAACCGATTTTAAAAGTAAACTTTTAAGATCGTTTATTTTATAACCAATCTTAAAAGTGCAGACTGAGAAAAAAAATTAAACTGGAACGGGCCGTTCTGCAAGGAGAACGGGCCATTCTCCTTTCAGTACTGGTCGTTCTGTAAGGAGGACGGGTCGTTCTCCTTTCAGTACGGGCCGTACTGCATGGAGAATGACCCGTTCTCCTTGCAGAACAGGCCGTTCCAGATTCAAAATTTATCCAAAATGAACCTACAACAAAAATAGAGACAAGAGAAGAGCATGAGAAAATGAAAAGAGATACAAGAAGAGGAAAATGAAAATGAAAACGACAACGAAATTTACCTCTTTAGAAAATGAGATTGGAGGGAAATATAAAAGGTTTCTGACGATATTTTTAAAATTGGTTATTTAAGAACCGATTTTGTATACTACATACAAAATCGGCTCTGAAATAACCGATTTTAAAAGTAGCACTTTTAAAATCGGTCATAAAATAACCCATCTTAAAAGTACTTTTAAGATCGGTTTTTTTGTAACCGATCTTAAAAGTTGTGTCTACCGATCTTAAAAGTGTTCATATTATTTACAAAATTGCCACCGCTTCACTTTTGAGATCGGTTACCTTGTAACCGATCTTAAAACTCTTATTTTAAATTAAATTTTTGCACTAGTGTATGAAACCCTAATCTCACCCACAATTTGAGCTTAAGATTATCAAAGCTAAATCCAATTGGTGAAATGCTTCCATCCTACAACACTCGTACGCCCTTAATTTACACTTAAAATACTCAAATCATGCAAACCCCCCAATAACACATGAGCCATAACTCCCAAAAGAGGCAAACACGTGACAAAATACAATTTCACACAATTATCCATGAAATCACAAAAGTGTGCAATCATATTACAACACTTAATCAAGAATACACATATTCTCATTAAACTCATACAATGGGAACCTATAGAGACTTGGAAGTTACCTCACTACCCTTTATTTTCATATATTCCCACATGTGAGGCAAACACTCCCACTCTTACCTTAAATGATGACCACCAAGCTAGAGCATTCATGGTTTTGTTATTCGATCTCCTTGCTTCTTTACCACAAGCTTTTCTACACTTTCTCTCAAACATTGGGAAGAAAACAAGAACTCTGAAACTCACTAACCTTTTTTGGCTATTTAATTCTAAGACTTAAATTGGGCTTTTGAAGTTCAAACTCATTGAACCAACTCACTCTCAATCCAACATATTCTATGTTATTTATAAAAACACCATTTATTTATATTAAAATCCAATTAATAAATTAATTAAGCTTATAATATAAATATTAATTACACAATTATACTTTATTGTCAAATTTTGAAAACAAGATGTTACAAATGAAAAAGGAAAATAAAAATCTTTTAACAATGAAACTTATAATAAAAAGGAAAATATAATATTTTTATGAACAAAAATAATGTGAATTATTTTCACTATATAAATTATAAATAAACTAAAATATCTTGTTAAAATTAAAAAAGAATAATTAATTATTATTATTTTTACAACTAGACACTTCGATCCAATGTTAAAAATAGTACCCCTCATTAACATGATATATTAATCCTAATATACATTTAAAATTAAAAAAAATCAAGGAGACAAGGCCCTCTTAACCTAACCTCACAAGTGGCTTAATCCATGCATATAATGCGTAATAGTGTAAATTTTGTTATTCATTATTTGTTATTATTAATTTAATTATTATTGTGATTAGTTCTTTAATAGTTGTAAAATTTTAAGATTTAGGAATTTTTACGAGTTTAGTGGCTTAGAATTTGTTTTGAGTCGAGGTCAAAATTGACCAAATTTAAGGAAATGTATATAAAGTTTCCTTGAGACTTGAACTTCATAAGTTCATTTCTTAAGTAAAACTAGAATTTAGAGAAAGGAGCTTTGGAGCCAGAATTCTCCCTTCTTTTTCTGAGTCCCCAAGAGAGTTCTAAAGCCTTCCATTGAGTGAGATTGAATAGTTGGTTGAAGTTGAGATTCAAAGTTTTGGAATCTGAGGATTAAAGAGTTGGTGGTTCTTTACAAAGTTGGCTCAAAAGGGTCTCATTCTTCCTCTTCTACCTCTATTCTAGTTAATTTAGAGGTAGGGAAAACTCTTGGATTAATTCTCTTTGTTGAATTGTTTTATTGAATCCTTACTTGAATTGTGTATTATCATGATTGGATATGAGTCTCACGTTTTGTGTGTGAAACATAATATCTAAAATTTGTAAGCATTTTGAGGACCCTTATATGACCAAATTAGGTTTCATGGTAATCATAAGAGTTGTACGGTTAGATGTAGCTTTCCAGTGACAGTAGAATAACCCACAAAGGAGGTCGAGAACTTAAGTTATGATCAAATTAGTGAACAAAGGTCAAGATGTCAATGTTAGGCTTAAATACTTCAGTTTTGTAATTGTTAAATCAACTCATGAGGTCAACATAAGGGTTTTAGATAATTGTACCATATATCATGTTTATACCCACATTGTCGTAGGAGCTTCAAATATGAAGAGACAGTTTGAGATTTGTAATGGTGAGTTGTTTTACCCTTGAAGTGTTTAATCTTTAGAAATTTTTTTTTTGAGAAACTTATATAAATGGTTAATAAGAAGATAAAATGTGTGAATGAGTTATGATGAAGATACAAAACTATGTTTGTGAGACCTTATGCATGAGGCTTTGTGTTTGTTTGCAATGTGAGATGTTCCTACATGATGTGCATGGTATGATATGTTTATGCACAACATGAGAAATTATATGTGATAGGAAACAATCATACATAATGTGATATGATGCAATCATACATAATTTGATATGATGTTGTAACCTAATGTGATGAGATTTTGATGTTTAATTTGAGAATATGGTGTGCAACATTTGAAATATTGGTGAATGTTGAGATATGAGATTCTGATAATGTGTGAAATGAGAAATAAATGATGTGTATGTATGAGATTTACATTAAGATAATGTGTTAAGCGAAGGAGATAACTATGAGTTGAATCTGTAAGGTAAAGTGTTGCATAGAGTTGAATCTGTGAGATAAAGTGTTGTATAGAGTCTCATATATATGAAGCACTCATGATGAGAGTCTTTGTACTATATTTGTTCATTTATTGGGGGTGTGTAGAGTAAAGTGCGATGAGGAATGTGAATGGATTAATGTTACAACATGTAATAGAATTGCATGATTGATTGTGAAATTACATAGTTTGAGATATGTGTGACGATTGAGTATGAGATATAAATTATGAGTAAGAGATATGTGTGACCATTGAGTATGAAATATAAATTATGAGTAAGAGATATATATGTGTCATGAGTATGCATGATATATGTGCAACGCGATTGAGCATGATACGTGTGTTATGAGTATAAGATATGTGTCATGAATACAAGTCTTTAGACCACGAGTATAAACCTTCAGGCCATGGATATAAGTACTTAAAAATACAATATTGAGTAATGCTTATAAAATATTAAGTAATATTTATCATTTCGGACAAAGTGATGTAATTGTAAACGAAATATATATATTTTCTTTTACTTTTATTTTATGTATGTTTACAATTATAATTATGTAACGTAAAATATTTTGGGTATATTTTAAATATTATTGTAATTATAAAAGAATTAAATTATAATATTACCAAAAATAATAAAATATACATAAATTAATGAATTATTTTTTTACAAAAATACATAGAGACACGAATAAAATTAGGCGACTCAAAAAATATATATGAAGACACGAGCATTATAATTAATTTTTAAGCAAAGTTTTTGCTCACTCAAAATTTAAAGATGTATATGCCATGCAAATAGATTGGGAAAGGTCAATAATTTTCCGTTAAAAAAAAAAAAAGAAAAGAAAAACTAGTCCATGCTATCAACTTAAGGTAACCGGGGCTAGAAACGTCCATAGACAAATAAAACTCCAGGAAGAAAATCAGGAAATTTTGGTGCAATTAATTACATTACCCTTTCAAACCATTTGACATAGCGATAGAACAAAAGGCAAAACGTCGACGTTGCGGTTCATCTTTCTTCTTCTTGTGCGTTTTGTGCAATCCATCTTCACCTCACAATCTCAGACTCTCACCGCACACTCGCCAATGGAGGCGAGAGTGTCCTCCTCTCTGGGCCTCCCCTCCCCAAAACCCCACCAAATGTCCCTCTCAACCCTCACCGACTTCCCCTCTCTCCTCACACACTTCTCCCTCCAAACCCAATCCCCCCCCTTCGCCTCCACCACCTCCCCCCACCCCCCAAACTGGGCCCGGCCCCCCCCCAAGGCCCACCCGCCCCTCTTCAAATCCCTCTCCCTCCTCGACCGCGCCCTCATCGGGGCCGCCGCAGGGGGCCTCGCCGGCGCCTTCACCTACGTCTGCCTCCTCCCCCTCGACACCATCAAAACCAAGATGCAAACCAAAGGCGCCGCCAAAATTTACAAAAACACCCTCGACGCTGTCGCCAAAACCTTCCACACCGGCGGCCTCCTCGCCTTCTACAGCGGAATCTCCGCCGTCATTGTCGGCTCCACCGCCTCCTCCGCCGTCTACTTCGGCACCTGCGAGTTCGGCAAGTCGTTCCTCGCCAAAATCCCCGCCTTCCCCGCCGTCTTGATCCCCCCCGCCGCCGGCGCCATGGGCAACGTGGTCTCCTCCGCCATCATGGTCCCCAAGGAGCTCATCACGCAGCGGATGCAGGCCGGCGCCGCCGCCGGCCGCTCCTGGCGCGTCCTCGTCCAGATTCTCCAAAACGACGGCGTCATGGGCCTCTACGCCGGGTACTCCGCGACGCTCCTCCGCAACCTCCCCGCCGGCGTCCTGAGCTACTCGTCCTTCGAGTATCTGAAATCCGCGGTTCTGAAAACGACGGAACAGAACCACCTGGAACCGGTTCAGAGCGTCCTCTGTGGGGCCCTCGCGGGTGCCATATCCGCCTCGCTCACGACTCCTCTGGACGTGGTGAAGACGCGCTTGATGACGCAGGTGCGCGGAGAGGGCGTGGGGAAGGTTGCTGCGGTCATGTACGACGGCGTTTCGGCCACCGTGAAGCAGATTCTTAAGGAGGAAGGGTGGGTGGGGCTGACACGTGGCATGGGGCCAAGGGTTTTGCATAGCGCGTGCTTCTCCGCGTTGGGCTACTTCGCTTTCGAGACGGCGAGGCTGGGGATTATGAGGGAGTATCTTCGGAGGAAGGAGTTGAGTGAAAGGGAGGCTCCCGTTTCTGCTTCCGCTGGCTGACTTGGTAATTTTCTTCTTTTTTGCTTAATTTTTTATGGTGGTTTTTGTTTCGTTTTTCAAGGGATGTTGGTTGATGTAGAGTATGAGTATGAGTATGAGTATTTCAGCAGCAAAAAAAAAAAAAAAAACTAGTTATTATTGGATAATGTGGTAGGAACAAGGAAGGTTATCTTTTTGTTGAGATTTGTTATAAGTTATAATGGATACAAATTGCAATAAAGTGGTTTACTTTTGCCTGTTTCTGGCCTTGTTGGAGGAAGTTTATTTAGGATTGTTTGAGCAATGATTCTAGGGTATTCTGTTTCTGAAATTTGTTTAGAATAAGGCACTTAGGCACATGAAATGGATTTCTCGGTGGACAATTAATGAAAGCAATAGCAATTTGTTATTGGATGCTCATTGGTGTCTTTGTTGTTCTTTGCTTCTCTCTTGGATTGTTAGTCGCTCACATGAATTGTTTTGTTTCTTTGAAGCTAGAGCAATTATACTTTTGTATTGATTATTGACATTAGTCTTGTGAATTGAACAGTTTGTCATAACGTTTCTTGATTTGAACATGTTCCAACCGAGATAGGGATACTCTTTCTTGTGATGCACAATGCTTGTGTTAAAACTTCATAGACCATTTTTGTGCATAGATCGTGATAATGTGTAGGATCTACTTTTTTGTGAGGGGTGGGGGTGGGGGGCATCAGGAGAGGGAAGGGAATGCTAATTTCTCAGTTTTATAAGATAATTTTTTTATAAAAATGAATAAGGGGTGACTGGGAGATTACAGGGTAATATCTATTCTTGTTCCTTTCATTTTAAAATGAAAACGTATGTTGCCGTTCGTCAAAACTCTTTTTCACCCGAACATACTCTTATAGTCTGACAAAGTTAACAATATTTCTTATATATCACAAATAACACTCTCTTCAGGCTTCAGCTTCTTCAGTTACAGTAGAACTATTAACTAAATTTCAATTTGGGTAGACTTGGTGGATTTTGATTTGAATTTTATCAAGTATGTGAGTGCAGAACTCTTCTAATGCTACTTTCATAGAATGAACTATTCATTATATGTATTTCAACCCTATTGAAAGTGGAGTTTTCTCAAGAATGAATGACAATTTATGACTAGAGATTCTAGAGTTTTTACCTTTTTAAAAAATGACCATTTTTTCTATATGTAATCAGAACACGTGAACAACTGTTATTGCTATATTGCAATCTAATATGTTAGTATTCCATTTTACATAATCGGATATCAAATTTAAGAGAAAATGCTCTGGTTTTTGCGACAGAAAATTACTCTGTAGACTACAAAACATGGGTGAAGAATCTTATCCTACTATAGCTAATTAAAATGGATACTCCAAACCTTCAAACTCTAAAAATGCTGAAGTGCACTCACATCCAGATTACAGATTGATAGTTTGCTGTTTGACTAGTACATTTAATTGATACTTCAGAGGTGATATATTGCTTCTGACTTCTGGATTTGCTGATATACGACTATTCTTCATTCTCCCTATACGTTCTAGTTGATTCTTATTGGTCACATAATTTTTATTTTTTTTTGCTGTATTTTAATTGATTGTATTTCTGGAAAGCCTAATAGAGGGAACTGGGTATTGAGCAGTAGAAGCTAGAATCTGTCAAAATAAAAATTATAAGCAAGCAATTATTTTGCCATTATGAATTTAATGCTTGGAATCTTAAGACCCTTTTTAATGGAGTGGCAGATGGTGATTTGTTTCTGTGTAACAAGGAAATTATTGAGTTGACAGTGAGAGATTAATTCGTTTTGAGACAGAGATCACTGAAGTGGATTTTGCCTCTTTCACTGAAGGTGTTTTTAGACATAGTGAGCAACGATGATTAGACACAGTTTTGGGCTGGAAGAAAGTTGGGTAGCTTTTGTTCTGTTATTGTGAGTGCATGACTGGTAAATTTGTTTTTACCTTTATTCTGAATGAGAATTTTGGTAATTTATCTTTAGATTATATATCTGTCTATTATTGTGAACCGTTGCAGAATAGTTCCTGATTTTTTTTTTTCTGTTGAAAAGTTAAATATATAATGGTTATAATAAGTGGTTTTACTGGATCGTGGCCTTGGTGCAAGAAGTTTAGGATTGTCTGAGCAGTGATTCTAGAAATTCTGTTTCTAAGATTTGTTTAGAATAAGGCACATGAATTTCTCTTCTGCATATTGGATGCTCATTGGTGTCTCTATTGTTCTTTGTCTTTGCTTCTCTTTTGGATTTTTAGTTGCTCAAGGAAATCATTTTTTTCCTTTGAGTCTAACAATTATATTTTTACATTGAATATTGAGCATAGTCTTGTGAGTTGGGCTGTTTGCTATAACATCCCTTGAATTGAGCATGTTCAAACCCTGAGATGGAGATACTTTTTCCTGTGATGTACAATCCTTGTCTTAAAACTCCTTAGTGATAGACCAATTTTGTTCATAGATCATATGTGTAAACATTTTATTCTAGGGAATGTTAATGTTTGGCTCTGGGGGTGGGGTGTTCCAGGGAATTGTGATCAAGTTGAAACTCGATTAACGCCAACCTATGCAAATAGGACCAACTAACATTATTTGATATATCTCAATGTTGCTGATATGTACAACTTTCTGTAGTCAGTTTGAATGTGGCAGGTTACTAGCAGGCATCACTATTTAAGATGGAATGCAAAACCTTCACATTTTAGATATCAATCGTCTTGGCTTAAAAATAAAATTACATATACATTGTACAGTAAAAGATTATGAAATCATTAAGTTTCTTGAAACAATGTTTTTTGCTAGTCATTATTTTATAATATGATTGTCCTTTTCTCATATTTTACATTGTAAACTTTAACACTATCAATGTTAACAAATAACGGTTAAAATAATAAAATCCCGTTATAATGGAATAGAGGAACAGTCTCCAGGTAAATTACCATTCGCCATAGATATTTGGTGTTTGATGGAGGCGTCCATCATATCTGCCTTGGCCTATAAAGGTTTGTGGCGATCATAGGGGATATGGCTTTTTATTTAAAAAAAAAAAACATTTTAAGGTTTATGACCTAGGCCCAACACATTTTGAAAAAACCGCAAACGCTTCTGCCGCAAATGCAGAACGAATGTGGAATGCTGTTGCTCCCAATCCTGAATGTTGTTGCTACCCTAGGATTCTGAGTCTTCATTCAACTCTCATGACCTAAACCGCGGAGGCCCCTCACTCAGGCAAACTTTGGGGTGAGGTTCAAAACAAGTTTTTTTTTTTTTTTTTTGTGTTTTTTATTCCTATTTTTTTGTCCAAATTTTCCTCATCTGTTCAACTATTCTTCATCTATTTTGTTCTATTTGAGTTTCTATTCTCTATCTTTTCTTCTTTTTCTTCATATGTTGGATCCGATTTGAATTCCAATTTGTTTTAACATTGAAAATTACATTGAGAAAGATGAGGGGAATTATGAGGATGAGAAGAAAGATTAAAACTAGATTAGTAAAATGTGTCTCGTTGTCTTTCAACTTTTTTTTTTTTTTGTTGTGTTCAATTATGTTTGAGACTTTAATGAATTATATGATATTGGTGCTTTGATATTTAACTACTTAACTTGATATTTTGTTGTTTAGTTTGTTTATGCCATTTGTATTTTTTGTGTGTGTATGTTTATATATATATATATATATATATATATATATATATATTTTGTTTGTCGTAGGCTATCATGTTTATAAAGGATTTTTAATTTAATGGTTGAATTTATAAACTTACACTTAATATAAAGTTATTGAGCGGTGTAATACTTAATAAAAGTTATATCGATATTACTATAACCTTTTTCATATATATATATTTATATATATATATATATATATTGTTTTTTTTTGTCTGTCATAGGCCACCATATCTTTATAAAGGATTTTTTACTCACCGTCGTAGATCATTAACCGTTATCCATAACCTTGCACTTTGTATTTTGCACTTCCAGCAGTTCATGTAGCCTGGATCAAAATTAGAATTTGAAGCAAATCTTTCAAAACTCTAAGTATGTACTTTTTGAGTTGGAATTAGGAATAACAATGGGATCTCGTGGACGCGGGAAATAGTAAACCCATCTTTGGCAGGCAGGATGAAAATGGTCCTATATCCGCGCAGGTATCCATGAATTTCTTGAATATTAGTAGATATCTATGGATATTCGTGGATATTTATAAATTTTTTAAGAAATTAACAAAAATTATATTACAAATAATTTTAAGTTTATATTTAATGTCATAAAAATATTAAAAATAAGAATTTAATGTTAATTTTAAACTTGTAATTAACATTAATTTTGTTAAAATAATAACAAAAAAGTAAAATAATCAATAATTTAAAATTCATCCATCTCACAAGTAAATGAAAGTCTTACATTACAAAGTTACAATAATTCAATCTCATAATTACAAATGAAGGGAAATAATTTAAAATACATAAATTTTATTGGTATAATCAAAACTAGAAAATTAATTAAATTATCCATCTTATTGGTACAAAAATAATTGATATTTAATAAATGTTATTAAACAGGTACTTGCGGGTATGGATATCATCATAGCCGTCCTGCTCTGTTTATAAATGGGTAAAAAGTTATCCATCTCTATTATTTATGGGTATCCAATTAGTCTACCTGTTTATTATCAGTAGCAGATTTTATTCACAAATATTTACGAGTGCAGATATTTTTGTCATCCATAATTCCATAATTGGAATACCAATTATAATGTGCATTAGAACAGAAAATTTAAATAACTTTCGAAGAAATACAAAAAAAAAATAAAAATACAAGAAATGCTAAAAAATCAAAATAGGTTCACATTCTCCATTACTTTTAATTGATCAATTAGAGCAAGCCAAACACAATAAAAATGAATAACATGTTACTTTTGTTAATTTGGAGATGACCAATCGAAGAATCTTAAGAAAAAATTGGATTAGACAATTTAGAATTCCAGAATGCTGTATATCTACATTATCCTCCATTCCATATTTCACTCTCTACAATTTCTAAAATATTGGTGAGACACAGCCGTGAAAGAAGAAATCCGCACCTATCATTTCCTGGTGGTGGTTGTGGGTCTTATTTTACCAGCAACTATGTTTTCATCTCATACGAGAGAAATCCACAATATACAAGCTAATTTAGGGCCTGTAAATCAACTTTAGGAACAATCCAAATCAAATAATAGGCTCATCTTGAACATAAATATAATAATGTAGAGAGAAGTTTACTACTGTATCATTCAGTTTTCTTTGAAATTTATATATACATTTAATGGTTTAAAATATAACAAAATAAAAATGCAAATTATAAAATAAGTAAATGAAAGTGAAAAACAGGAAGCCTATGAATTAGGATGTTTGTGAAATAAATAAAAGTTGACACGCTTCCAAATTATGTTTAGTGTTGTCTTTAATAGTTCAGATTCATATGCTTTTAATAATTTGTTTAAATCTTATTTTTGATGATAAAATCTTTAAAAATATAATAAACAGTGTTTTTTTTAATGAAAATATATGAAGAAGAGTTTAGACTTAAAATATGAGATGAACATTTATTTTAATAAAAACAATAAGTTGATAGTTTTATACTTAATTTATGGAACAAACATTTTTACCAAAGTATTTTTTTAATAAAAATTAAATACAATAAAAAAATGTAGGCTTAACTTAAAAGATAAAAATATAAAATAACACACGGATGAACATTTATTTTAATAAAAAGAATGATAATTTTTTTAACTTAATTTACCGGACAAACTTTTTTACCATTTTTTTTCCTAATGGAAATTAAAATACGATGATAAAAATTTTATGCTTAACTTATAAGATAAAATATAATATAACACACCGGATGAAAATTTATTTTAATAAAAACAAGTTGATAGTTAATACTTGATTTATGGGATAAACTTTTTTTACCAATTTTTTTTTATTAAACTAAAATACTATGAAGAAGAATTTGAGCTTAACTTATAAGATAAAATATAATATAATATAATATAACAAAACGAGTTGATAAATTTATACTCATAAACATTTATTTTAATGAAAATAAGTCAACAATTTTGTACTTAACTTATGAGAACCAAAAAGAATTTTACCAAAATTGTTTTCTAATAAAAATTAAAATATTATGAAGAAAAATTGAAGTTTAACTTATAAGATAAAATATAAAATAACAAACGGGAATAATATTTATTTTAATAAAAACAAGTGAATAATTTTATTCTTAATTTTCGGAACATAAATTTTTACCAAAACGTTTATCTAATAAAAATTAAAATGCTATTAAGAAAATTCTGACTTAATTAACTTATAACTCGAATATAATACAACACATGAGAATAAATATTTTAAAATATAAACAAGATGATAATCTTATACTTAATTTACAGCGTCAAACATTTTTATCAAAAAAATAATCCTAATAAAAATTAAAATATCTTTTACTAATTAATATCTACTCCATACAAAATTAGTGTCTAAAAGCATTGTTCATTTATTATTATCCTTCCATGTATATAAATGTAAATAAATTATTTCAAATTCCTTACCTTAATTAAAAGTTATACAATAAATAAATTACTTTTTATATGATATGTTCAAATTATTTATTTTAACTTGAATATTAATTTGTATTAATTAAATTAATATTAAAAAAAAACACATAAAATACTTATATTATATTATTTTATAAAAAGATTATTTATATATATATCCGTGCATTGCATGCGTGTTATATCTAGTACTACCAACAAAGCACAACTTCATTCCATATCTTAGTTTTTTTTTAATTTTTTTTTAATTTTTTTTTAAATAATTCTATATCTTAGTATGTTACTATAAAATATTACCATATTACTATATTAACAACTAAATTCATTTTTATATTGAATTGATTTAAATTTAATAAAAAATTTATATAACTCCTAACATAGACATTTATTAATAATATAAAGGGAATAAGTGTAACACCCTAAACTATATTAATTATTTCAGTTTTAAAATAAAGTAATAAAGAAAGTATAATAAAATATTAATCACATTAATTTTAAATTATTACAGTTTTAAAATAAAAATAATTATGATTATATGTTAAAAAATAATGAATATTAGAAAGAAAAAAATAACACATTAACAAAGTAAAAAACTTATACAACAATGTTTTTCTCTAAAATATCATAAATATAATTATAAAAATTATTATTTATTATGGTAATATAAAAAAATATAATTAAACATAATTTTACATAAAAATATTAATATTTTATATAAATATTTTTAAAGTAAAATATTCAAAAATTTTAACTCTAGATTTGCATCTAAAATAATATTCCTATAAAATAAAAATATAATACATTAATATTGTAAATTGTAACGCACCTTAGAACATTAATTACAATAATTATTAATTATTTCAGTTTTAAAATTAATTTAAATTAAAAATTACATATAAAATTAGTATATATAAAGGAAATAATTTCTCCCACAAATATTTTTCTCAAAAATTCATTAATTACATTAATTTTAAATTATTGTAGTTTAAAGTAAAAATAATTATAAAACTTATATAAGAAATAATTATTAAAAATAATTATGATTATATGTTAAAAATAATGAATATTAACGAAAAAATAACATATTAGTAAAGTCAACAAATTTTGCAACAATTTTTTTTTCTTTAAAATATAAAAGAAAGTAATTATAAAAATTTCTATTGTTAATGTATTATTATTAGGAAAAATATGTTTTAGAAGGAAAAACCATATTAAATAGTTAAATTAGTTTCAAGATATGTATATATTATTTTTTAATATTACTTTTTTTTATTAATTCTTAATATTATTATATTTTATATCTATTATTATTGTCAATTTTTATTTATAAAATTAATTAAATATCATTTCACTCCATTTATTAAAATAAATCATGCATCCTACGGATATCGATCTCATTATACAAAAATGTTAGGTTATTGTTATAAATATTGTTTTGATGTGAAAATTATAAATATTTGTGATAATAAACTTAATAATAATTAAAAGTATGCTACTTGTGAAAATTAATACATTAAACAATAAAATTATATATTTAACATACTTTCAAATTAATAAAATTTAAATAATTTTTATTTATAGTTATGTTTGAAATTTGAGACAAATGTCAATGAATGCCATGCTTTGGTATTTTAGCAGAGCATGTGCAGTATCCGTATGTATATGAAAATAAATATTAAGTTCAAAGTTAATGGACGCTGTATACTACTAGCAGCATCATTATTCAAAATAAAACACAAAAACTTCACATTTTAGATATTAATAGTCGTGGCTTAAAAATAAAATAAAATAACATTACATATAGACCATACAACAAAAGACAATCAAATCTGCAAGTTTCTTGAAACAGAAATTTTACACATCTAACACTCCTCGAAGCTTTCATTCCAAATTGAAGCTAACCTGGTACAAACTGATGGAGAAAAATTGAAGACTAAGTTTTAGTAACAAAATAAATTAAACTAAAAATCTTTACTAGCCATTGGAGTACAAAAATATACATAAGTACTGTAACCATTACAAGGTTTAAATATTAGAGATGTCATCTGAAAACAAGAAAATTTCTCTAAACAGAACACCCTCTATAAATCCTTTACAGCTACAAAAGTAATCATCTTTAGAAAAATAGCTACATTTGCAAAGGCACGAAGTAAAGAAACAAGGGAGTTGATAAAGCAAAAATGTACGTGTGTAATAATGAAGTAAAACAGAGCATCTTGAAATCGAATGACTAAAGAATGTAATAAGTAAATTCTAACTATCAAATTCATGCAAAGATGAACAATTGAAAATTATTCTCCCATTCCACATCGAAAGGAGTTAATGATTTATTTTTAACCAATAAAGGAGAGAAGTTAAGGGTATTATGTACCTGCTACTGATAGCTTTCGAGCCATCTACAACACTTGGCTATATTCAGTTCAACTGTTACAAGTATATAGTCTGTCACTCTGTTTAAGATCCTTAGGTAAGCAATTCTCCATGGTTGCCAAAGTATTATTGGCCCTAATAATCCCCAAAAGCCTGCAAAGAATCCTAACCCCAAACTCATGTATAATGCTTCAATGAAAACTGAATTATCTTCTTCACCACGGACTGTTTGTTCTTGAGGCTTTGCTGTTGTCTTGTCTCCAGGGCAGCTTTTGTTGAGTGGTTCACCACAAAGCTCAACATTTCCTTCAAAACTAGAGGCATCAAATGTTTCCAAATGTCCTTCCCATGGGATTCTTCCACTGAGATCATTGTTGGATAAGTCTAACACACCAAGCCTATCAATTTTGGAAAGAGTAAATGGAATTTTGCCAAAGAATTCGTTTCTTGACAAGTCTATAAAATCTAGCCAACTTAAATTCCCGATCTCGGTAGGAATTTCTCCATCTAATTTGTTTCTTGATAGATTCAAAGAAACCAATCCAACTAAATATCCAATCTCTTTCGGTATTGTACCTGTTAAATCATTACTCGAGAGATCAATGCTTTTTAAAAGAATATCGGGATTCCAAAACACATAATCCTGACTTTTCCACGTCAATAACACGTTAGAGTCGTAAATAGAAAAATATGCCTCTGTAGATGTTATTTTTCGACCCTTTACAATTCCACTTGTTGTTATTTCCCTTTCCATCATTGCAGTAAAATTCCCGAGACATGTAGGAATTCCTCCCGACAAATTATTCCTTGAAAGGTCCAAGAAATGAATTTGGCTCAAATAACATAGGTTTACAGGAACACTTCTGAAGAAGCGATTTACTCTCAAGCTCAAGATTTTCAATTTTTGTAGATTTTCTCCTATCCACGAGGGTATTGGACCAAACAAAAAGTTTTCACTCACATCTAATATGACTAAATCAGTGCAGTTCTTCAATGTGAATGGTAGGCCTCCGGTTAAGTTGTTGTTTCGTAAGACTAAAGCTTGCAAATGAACAAGAGTACCCATGGACTTTGGAATCTTCCCTGACAATTTATTATTGCTTACATCAAGATATTCTAGTGAATTTTTTAGATGTTTCCAACAGTTGGGCAGTTGTCCCCTTATTTGATTATTTGATAAAACCAAAGTATGCATTTTTGTGGTTGCGCTTTCCATGCACAAGAATGAATTGAAATCCGAAATCTTGTTTTTGGAAAGATCCAATGCATGGGCTTGTGATAAAAAAGTTGGAATTTCACCTTCAAGTTGATTTGATCCTAGAATTATAATATTATAACCATCATCAGTAAGCTTGATTGGCAAATTCGGAATTGTACCTTTGAGACTGTTGCAAGACATATTCAGCTCACTTATAGATTGTAACTTGCTCCAAAACCACTCCGGTATAAAGTCATCAATCCCAGCATCAGAAATATCTAGAAAGCTTAAGTATCTTTGATTGTGGAGCCAACTTGGGAATCTAGGACCCAACTTGCAAGAAGCTAGCCCCAAATTATATAATTGGAAAGGTGGAACCCAGGTTGTATCAAACTTTACAGACAACGAGCTATCTGTTAAATCTAACTCCATCAATTTGGACAAATTTTTTAGATGCAATTCATTGATATCACCCTCCAAGTGATTCCCCCCCAAGCGAAGACACACCAACTCATCAAGCAACCCAATGATTTTTGGTATTTCTCCAGTAAACTGGTTATAGGAAAGATCTAACATCCTCAAAGATGTAAAATTTGAAAGATTAGGTAGCATTCCAGTAATCTGGTTATAAGATAGATCGAGAGTCTGAAATACATGTCTGTTGCACTGTGAAGAATTTTGAATGATGGTAGAAATTTCTCCGCTCAAGTTGTTCTTTTTTAGGAATAATTTCTGCAATGTGAATATATTCCAAAGAGAAGCTGGAATCTCACCTTGCAGTTTGTTAGATTCAAGGACCAGAACTTCAAGAGACTTCATTACTTTCCCAAATCCATCTGGAATGAGACCTTCTAACAAGTTCTCCAGAAGGTTAAGGCTACGAAGATTGGAGGTAAAGTTGAAAATCCAGTGAAATACAGACAATGACTTTAATAGGTTATCGGAGAGATCAAGGGTGACAAGAGAAGATGAGAAATCCTTAATGGAAGCAGATGGCACAAGAAAACTTTCATCGGTAAGACCGCAGTTGCTTAGATAAAGTTCTTGTATTTTGGAGCTGAAGTTGAAATTTCCTTCAAATATTAACGATGTCAGATTATTATAAGAGAGGTCAATCGTCAATATAGAAGGAAAGCTTGGATAGTGAAGAGACGACAAAACAATATTATTATGAGACAGATAAAGCTCTTGGAGATTAAGGCTGTGGTTGAACAACAACTGAAATGTTGATGATGTGAGCATATTATCAGAGAGATCAAGAATGGAAAGAGAAGAGGAAAGGTTGGAATGAGAAGGAAATAAAGATGAAATATTATCATCAGAAAGACTACAACTAGACAGCCTCAACTCTCTTAAATTTGGGATAAGCTTACTAATCATTTGTATCCATTGACGAGAGGACCCAAGATTAGGCAATGAACTTAGGCCTAGAGTTGTTAATGAAGAGAGAGAAGACAACCACTTTGTATCAGTGATTGTAAGCTCAAAATTGCCAACAAGTCTAAGAGTATGCAAGATTGGAAGATTCCCAACATGGAAAGGGATTGTTCCGGAAAGGGAAGTTCCGGAAAGATCAAGATACCTCAAATGTGAGAGATTTCCAAGTTGATAAGGGATTTCTCCATAGATATCATAATTTTCAGTCAGATCTAGATATTGTAAACTTGTAAGCTGTCCTAATTGAGAAGGGATTGTTCCATAGAGAGAATTTTCTTTAAGATCAAGGTACTCCAACTTTGAGAGATTTCCCAACTTATGAGGAATCCTCCCAGCAAAACCCGACCATGATAGATTGAGATATCTTAAGTTGGTGAAGGAGCCAATGAGTTTAGGGATGTAACTCCCTTGAAATTCATTGTAGCTGAGATCCAAATGCTGAATATTTTGCAAGTCAATCAATGAAGTGAAGTTGATTGCACCTGTCAAATGTTGTGTATCAGAACCACGGAGATGAAGGATGTGTACATGACCTGTTGCATTGTTGCATTGAATGCCTCTCCATTTGCAACAATCTCTGTTATTGTCATCCTCCCTCCATGTAGACAGCATGCCATACTCATCTAGGATGCCATGTTTGAAGTTGAGGAGTGCTTGTCTCTCCTTCTCTATGCATTTCACATGTGAGCTCTGTGATGGTGAGAGGAATCCAAGAATGGATACCTGAGTTTGTGAAAAACACACTAACACAGCAAGCAAGATTTTGAGAAAGTAATTGCCCATTACAATTTTGCTATGCTATAAGCTTTGATAAGTGTAAAAGAACAAACACGAGGGATTATGATTTGCGATGTATTGAAAAACTCAGCAACTGCCAAGAGGGTTACATAAGACTTAATTTCTACATCCTATTGACTATTCCAAGTCAAGCAAGCGTGGAACTTTCCAAGTTATTTAAATGAAAAGAAAATTAATGGAAAGTTGGAAACTCTTAAACCAAAAAATGAGAGATACAATTAATTACTTCTTTATCTTAGATGTTTTGGTTTTAAATCTACAAATGAAGCAATAAGAACATACTAGATGCACAAACTTCCAATTACAAAAGAACTTTAATGGATCTCGATTGAATTATGAAATATTTATCAATGTTTCATTTTATAAAAATATTCAAAATCTTATAAAATTATCATTTAATACGTTAAAAATGTAAAACATAAACAACTAAAACAGATGGAAGAGAACGCTCAGCTTTTCATTTAACATAGAGGCAGAGATACAACCAAAATTAAACTAGAGGGAAGGGGGTATTTTGCTGGTACACTCAGAATACTAAGTTAATTAAAAGCATATAATATTTAACAGCAAAGTTTTTATCTCTATTATTCTTTTAAATTTAAAGATTAAAAGTTTAAAATCTGAAGTTTGAGAAGAATTATAAATATCATAAACAGTTATTGATGAAAGAGATATCAAGGCTTGCGTAATTCAATTGCTTTTGAATTCAATTATTATTGGTCCAAAGGAAAATTATATATGATCGTTGAAAAGTGTCCATTGTATTATTTTTCCACGCTTAGACCAGTCCAATTATCCCATACTTCACCTCATTGCTATGAAGTTTCAAAAATATCAACCAAATAGAAAGATAAATGCCACAAAATCAAAATAAAAAGCTATACTAGGCTTTGATGCAAAGGTTTTTATCATTTTTGATTGTGCATATGCAGAAAATTAATGAACTATAGGACAAACCAAAATAGCAACCGCTAAAACCTATAATTATGTGTTTGATTTTGAGAGAGAAGATGAGAATGTGAATATCATTGATTCAAAAATTGATTATTACCCATAAGGATTACAGAACAACGTATTTATAAGTGTTAGAGGTAAACTAATTCTAACTAGGAAAACTAACTAACTTGTAATAACAACTTTCATCCTTTTCCCTTAACACCCCCCCTCAAACTCATGGTGTCCAAAGTGGTAACCATGAGTTTGTTTCAAAAATGATGAAATTGTTGTTTAGCTAGAGGTTTGGAAAGTGTATCTGCAACTTGATATTCTGCAAGAAGATGAATAACTCTTACTTCATTCTGTTTGACTTCATCTCTCACAAAGTGCAGGTCCAGCTCAAAGTGTTTTGTTTTGGAGTGCAACACAAGATTGGCAGTAATGAGTATTGCACTTAAATTATCATAGTAAATTCAGGGAAGAGACTTTGGAACCCTTAATTCACTTAATAGTGTTGTATCCAGATAATATCTGCTGCTACATCAACTATGCTGCGGTATTCAGCTTCTGTTGTACTTCTTGAGACAGATTTTTGTTTTCTTGATGACTAGGAAATAAGATTGGAGCCTAGATATGCACAATAGCCACTTGTTGATTTTCTATCATCTTTATCATTCCCCCAATCTGAGTCATAGAAGCTAGTCAAATTTAGTTGCTTATTCTTTTGAATGAGAAGACCATGATGGATGGTTCCCTGTAGATACCTCAGAATTCTTTTTACTGCCTTCCAATGATGTTCTTGTCACAAGTGCATATATTGGAAAACCTTATTGACTACAAAGGAAACATCAGGTCGAGTAATGGTGAGGTATTGAAGTGCTCCAACTATAAACCTGTAAAAGGATGGATCTGGCACTGATGTTGTCTCATTTTCTATCAACTTCAGATTAACAAGCATAGGGGAAGGTTGTGGCGTTGAATCACTCATGTTGGCCTTATGAAGAATTTCTCTGAGATATTTTGTTTGAGTCAAAAGGAGATTACCTTCCTTTGTGATAGTTACTTCAACACCTAGTAATTAGTTTATGGAACCAAGATCCTTTATTGAAAACTTGTCATGAAGAAATGAAATTACAAACCTTATTTCTTCCTTTGAGTTGCCTGCAATAATGATATCATCTACATAGATAAGTATCATAAGTGTTGTGGTTTTGGAGAACCGCACAAACAATGAGATATCACTCTTGGTTTAATAAAAACCCATCTGAATAAGTGTGTTGCTAAGCTTATAATACCAGGACCTGGGTGCCTATTTTAGACCATATATTGCTTTGTTAAGCTTGCAAACCTTATCTTTGTGTTGAGTGTTGAATCCAAGTGGCTAAGACATATAAACTGATTCTTAAAGGTCTCCATGAAGAAAGGAATTATGGATATCTATCTAATGTATAGGCCACTGATTGGTGATAGCGAGGGATAAAATGATTCTGACTGTTGTTGGCTTGAGTACTAGGCTGAATGTCTCTGAAATCCAAACCTGGTTTTTGATTGTAACTTTTAGCCACCAGTCTGTCTTTGTGTCTTTGAAAGCTCCCATCTGAGTTGTAAGTGGACTTAAAAATCCACTTGCATCCTATAGGTTTGTATCCAATAGGCAAAATCTACTAGGGACCAAGTTTGATTGGATACAAGAGCTTGATACTCATCCTTCATAGCCTTTAGCCATTCAGGTTTTGTTAAGGCTTTTTTCACTGTGTTTGGCTCAATTGTATGATCATAGGATGACTTCACGAGTGCAATTGCATAGGTTTTGGGCTTAAAAATTCCTGCCTTAGACCCTAGTGGTCATGGGATGAGCATTTTGTGGACTAGTTGATGAGACATCTGGTTCAATTATTGGAATAGTTGCTATTAGTATCATTCTTAGATAAAACATTAGTAGTAAAAATAAGATTAGAATTAGAATGGTGATTATTTTGGGGTAATGATGTCAAAACAGTAAGATGACTTAATTCAGAATTATTATGAACAGAATTGGATGATTTAATTGAAGGAATAAAGGGATTTGATTGTGTTTGACAGGGAAAAACTATTTCAAAAAATTTAACGTTTCTAGAGATATATCTCTTTCGACTTGGAGAGAGGCAGATGCACCCCTTGTGATTAGGACTGTATCCTAGAAAGAGACATAGTTGAGATTTGAAATCAAATTTATGGGAATTATAAGGCCTTAGCAAGGGATACCAAGCACAACCAAATATTTTGAGAAAATTGTAATCTGGTGTTTTGTGAAACAACATTTCATGAGGGCTAGCATTATCAAGGTTTGGTGTAGGTAACATATTAATAAGAGATGTAGCAGTAAGAAAGGCTTCTCCCCAAAAGCTTAAAGGGAGCGAAGCTTGAACTAAAAGAGTGAGACTTGTTTCAATAATATGCCTATGTTTGCGTTCGAGGCTTCCATTTTTTTGGTGTGTGTGTGGGCAAGATAATTTATGTATAATTCCATTTTGTGTTAAGTAAGGAGAAAATGTAAGGAACTCTTTTGCATTATCATATTGAAAGGCTTTGAGTTTAGTACCAAGTTATTTTTCAGCAAGGGATTTAAATTGTAAAAATGCAAATAAATCTTGAGACTTGTATTGTAAAAGATAGATCCAACTGTATTTAGAGAATGCATCAAGAAATACAATATAGTATCTACTTCCATGGGTGGAAGCAATAGGAGAAGGTCCCAATATGTCAGTAAACACAAGCTCTAACGGCTTAGAATATACAGTTGTAGATTGTATAAAAGGTAATTGATGTACTTTCCCTAAACAAGAGTGATAGTTAAGATTGTTATTTGTATTACAAGAAATTTGACATTTATCTAAAACAGTTTTGACTATGGAGGAGGGGTGGCCAAGTCTTGCATGCCACAACTGAAGATTGCTAAAGGATTGAGCAGGATTAAATTCTATGACAACTTGATAAGAAGAATAAGAACCAGTGGTCTTTAAGTTTGGAAAAACATATAGGCCTTGCTGAAGCCTACCTTGCAGAATAATCTGGTTGGCATTCTGTGTTTTGACATTGCAAAAGTCAGGGAAAAATTCAAAATATACACGATTGTCCCTAGCAAATTTAGATACACTCAATAGGTTTTTAGTGATAGAAGGTACATGAAGTAATTGATGTAACATAAAACGTCTAGAAGTGTTTGGCATAGACAGTTCAGAGTAACCAATGTTTTAAATTTTCAAACCTGCACCATTACCAATTTTGACATTGTCCGAGCCTTGATAGGAGGATTTGGCTGATAGATTTTCTTCATCATTGGTCATATGATGTGAGGCCCCACTATCAGGATACCACAAAGGATCTTGAACAATTGATGGAATGGCAATGCTTCCTTAATCAGAATAGACTAATGCATTGGAATGAAACTATGAGGTATTAGCCAGTGGAGGTTGTTGAAATTCTTGATTAAAACTCTACCAGTAATCAATAGCCACATGCCCAAGTTTTCAACAAATTTGACACTATGGTTTAGGATTATTCCAATTATTTTGATTGGATTGAAACCAACTGTTTCTGTCAAAGCCTCTTCCGAATGATCATCCTCTTCTATAGTTATTGAAGTCGCCTCTATTGTTGTTTCTTCCTCCACGACCATAATTGTTACCAAGGGCATATTGTTGTTCTCCTCTTCCCCTTCCAATATTACCCATTTGAGAATTTACTATTGCAGTATTTGCTTGAATGAAATTCTGTTCTGTCTTTCAGTGTTTGCCAAACCTTTCTTCTTGTGCTAATAACAGTGCCTCAATATCATCAATTGAGTAAGGATCCAAATGAGATGTAATAGATGTGATAAAAGAATCAAATTCTTCCGGAAGTCCATTAAGAATGGCCTTAATATGTTCCTCTTCAAAAATTGGTGAACCAACAGCTGCTAGTGAACAGTCTTTTTAATTGAAAGAAGATATTCTAGTACCATGCTATTTTTCTTTGACATACGTAACTGTAGCTTTAGTTTCTTGATCTTTGCTCGGGTCTGTGATGCAAAATAGGTCTCCATCCGCTTCCATATTTGATGAGTACGCACTAGCCCAACCATTTTAGTCAAGATTGGAGTAGTCATTGATGCCAATAGCCATGCCACTACTAGTTGATCGTAAA